GAGCTTTTTAAAGACTTCTATATCCTGACCTTATATAAATTTTCAAAAGGTGTATTTCAAATGTTAAATAAAACTATATATATGATATAGTTTTTAACTGACTAAATATACATTTCTATATAATTAATGCAAAAAATTACAGTATGTATGACATTCAGAATATGTCACATCATTTTGTGAATTGTCCTTTTGGGAAACTTAGACTATCTTTGCATCTGCCCTTGACCAAAATACCGTATTTCCATGAGTCTCTCAACATTTTTGTCCTACTATCATGCTAAACAAAGAAAGGAAGCAATGACACTATGGTCTAGGTCTTTTTCTTTTTTTTTTTTGGTTGTTCGTTTTGTTTTTATTTTTATCTTGCCAGGGGATGTCTATGTTCATTGGAGAGAATCAGAATGAAAGCTAAAGAAAGTGTGAAAGCATCCTCCATGGGGCTCAGCCACCTGACAGCCCCTTCTCCTCTACCTCTCAAGTTCCATTTTATTTAACAACTTATTCCTCAACTAATTCTAGAAATAGGTTTCACTGTTCCCTGCTATGCAATTCAAAAAAAGAAAAAAAAAACCTCAAACTTATTACTTGCTTCAAATCATGGTGTGCAACAGTTGCTTCTTAGACTAGCTGTCAAGAATGTGCATGTTTAATAAAGGCCATACTTACGGTTGTGGAGAGTGAATATCAGAGCTTTTTTTTTAATCAAGATAATTAATCTGGGACTGACATTTAAGTAAGCTGGCCCATGTGTGCCTCTTCTTAAGGAAAAAGTGCACATAGTGCAAAGTGATTGATAGCAGGAAAATGATTTTCTTTTTTCCCATGACTATCTTAAAAGTCAAATATTGTTTGTAGCTCCATAATGTAATTAAGTTGAAATTCACAACTCTGCCAGTATTTGACCATCTTTAATCTACAAAATATTCATTTTATTTATTTTTCTCTAAAGTGTGCTCTTTCTGCTTTTGTGATTTTTACATGGTGTTGTTTGGTTTGGTTCACACTTTCCCCATTAATTCACATAATTTTTAGACAACAGTGAACTCATTTGCTGTATTCCCTCCCTGGAAAATGTTCTCCTTCTCCTATATCAAAACTTCCATTGTTTTCTTTTATTTATAAATGTTATTTTTGAACTCATATAGCTATATCTACACTTCAGCGACTATATTACTTATTTCTCCACCTGTCCTTGTCTCTATGACACATATTCTTGTTTGCTTTTTGTATTCATGGTATTTCATAGTATTTACACTATTGTTTTGTACTCACACCTGCAAAAGCAAGAGCAGGTCCAGGACAGGAACAATATAAAATGGGAGACCACTTGCACTATTCATGTTTCACCCTGACTGTGACATCAGCTTGCATTCAAATTCTAATCCAGCAACTTTATTTTCCAAAGATACTAAGCTTATCTGAAGCCTAGTATTTATAAAATAGGAGCAACAATTAGATTTGTTCTAAGGACCATTATGAAGATTAGCTCAGATAATGTATAAAACAAACAGCACCTAGCCCATAGGTAAATTCCTCTTTAAATCTGAACTCTTTCATATTTTCTAGGCTGACATGTATGTTCACCATAGACTCAAATACTGTAGGTAAGAAATTGAATGTATTGTGTCAGGAAGAAACTGAGCAAAATTCTACCCAGAGAGCAAGGAGGAAAGTAAAAATCTAAGTGTTCAAAATTTGTCATAATATGCAAGTATTCTTAGATTTCTTTTGTCTGTATCTCAAACCTTGATGGTCCTGTGTATTCGCTTTTATTTCTTGCAATAGAGCGGGCGCCACCACGCCCCTTCCCTTTTATTTCTTAATCTGTCTTTCTCTTTTTATAAATGCATAATAAGTACAACAATGGGTCCCAGGTAAATAAATATAAGTAAACAGCCTAGAAATCTAACCAATGCAACAAAAAATATTTTTTCTTAGAATTTTATTTGAAAGTAAAAACAGTAACTTTACAATTGTTGTATTAAAAGAAAAAAAATGAATACCCCCAGCTGGAACTTATGGGCACATTAATATGTTGCTTTTTTAGGCATTTGTATTTTCATGAAAAGTGTACTTGTTCATGGTTAACTCAATAATTAATGTTGGATGGTCTCATAGCTTAATGGTTAAGGAAGCCAGAATCCACATAGCCCATCATTGGTCAAATCCCTGTCCTTGTGCCTTGAAAACTATGGTACATGTATATCTGTGCCCCAAATCCTGGCAGGTTGGGGAAATGGAAGAGAAGGTGTTATGGTGTGACCACATACCATTGGAGGATGTTTTCTCCCTCCCTCTATCTGTCTCTCTCTGATGAGCACATGTCTTCTGGCAATTAAAAAGAATTACAGTGAATGATCCTTGATATGCTAACAGATTTTTTTATGTCAGTGGCTTTCTACTTTTTTGTACAACAGAGGAACTCAATAAAACACAACTTATTGAAAATCCAATTTATGAAGCCACTATAAGTGGAGACACATTTACTGAAAAGAGGGCACAATCTTGAAAGATATGTTGCTTTTTTAGGCATTTGTATTTTCATGAAAAGTGTACTTGTTCATGGTTAACTCAATAATTAATGTTGGATGGTCTCATAGCTTAATGGTTAAGGAAGCCAGAATCCACATAGCCCATCATTGGTCAAATCCCTGTCCTTGTGCCTTGAAAACTATGGTACATGTATATCTGTGCCCCAAATCCTGGCAGGTTGGGGAAATGGAAGAGAAGGTGTTATGGTGTGACCACATACCATTGGAGGATGTTTTCTCCCTCCCTCTATCTGTCTCTCTCTGATGAGCACATGTCTTCTGGCAATTAAAAAGAATTACAGTGAATGATCCTTGATATGCTAACAGATTTTTTTATGTCAGTGGCTTTCTACTTTTTTGTACAACAGAGGAACTCAATAAAACACAACTTATTGAAAATCCAATTTATGAAGCCACTATAAGTGGAGACACATTTACTGAAAAGAGGGCACAATCTTGAAAGACTACACTGTACATTTAGTTCACTTATACATACATAAAGTGTTAATTAAAAATATTTTCAAATATATAAAAAGTTATATATAAAATGTTAAAGTTATTCCAGTCCTTTTAAACCTTCATACACAAAAGGAAGACATTTTCAATATTTAGCCAGCTGCTGATGTTAAATACAGAACATCAGACAGTAAGATAAAATATTCCTTGTCTAAAAATCAAGATGGCATAAACTAATATGATAAACATAAATTTTAAAATTTGTTATCACTCTCAGCTTAACAAATATGCATGCAAAAAGATTACTAATGACATTCAGGACATTGTGTTCTGTAAATATTAACGAGAGAATGTTTTCATGAGGAAAACATAATATACAAGTATTCATTGTGGGACAAGCTCTTTTGGCAAGCTAAGAAATATAATTCTAAAAATTAGATAATGGTACATTCATTTTTCAAAGTTAGAAAATGTGTAAGTGGCAAAGGTAGTATGCAGAATTTTAAATATTGAAGTCACTGGCCCTCCCTAGCCTATACAAAATGATATGATACTCCAGAATTAAAGCGTTGCCCTGATAAAATGCAATAGTGATATTTATTATTTTAAGCATGTATTGAATGAAAATAGGTTTTATTTTATTATACGATTTATTTAACAATAAATGATTATGATTGAATTAAGAATATGTTATGAGGGAAAATACAGAGAAATAATGTACAAACTGTGTTAGTCTTATAAAGTTCTTTATACATGTGGAGAGAGATTTTTTTTTTTTTTTTGCAGTGTAATATTATAAATCTGAGTCTGCCATCTTGCAGCTGAGGATATTTATATTTGACATTGTTAAAAGCACTTAATTCTAGAAAATTCAAAACAATAATGTCTATAATTAATTTACTTTGATTTTCATAATCAATTACAACCTCACTAAGTGATCCTGACACTGTATATCTTGTTCCTTCTTTTTTTAAAAAATGTGGGGTTTTTTGGCTTTCGCTATAGTGTGTGTGTGTGTGTGTGTGTGTGTGTGTGTGCTCTCTGGAGAGAGACAGGGACAGACAGTGAGAAGGAAAGTAAGAAATCACTTCCCATGGCTGATGGTCACCCTGCAATCCCTTCTCCGTTCTGCTCCTGGGATTTTGGACGTGTATCCTGCAAGATTTTCAAGCCTCCATGTCTTAGACTTGACCTAGTTGGCCATGTGGAAGTTCAGCACCTTAACCACCACGCTACCTGCTGGCACCCCAGTATATCTCTCTTTTGACAAAAATAAACTACTTGACTGATACATTCATGTATTGCAAGAAAACAATTAATAATGAACAATTGTTTTTTTTTTTTACATCTGTATTACTTCAGGATAATGAACTGTTGTTTTTTTTTTTTACATCTGTATTACTTCACTCTTTTATGATCTGAGATTCAGAGAGGAATTTATTTGATGAAGAACATTTTTTTTCTATAATGTTTATGGGTCAAAGGAAATATATATGATTGCTCCTAAGCTTTAAGTGCACTATTTCCTCAGATCAATTAAAAAACTCATTACTTTAGCAAATACTTTAGTAAGTCAATAATTGCACCACAGTTATGTTGTCAATATAAGCAGGCAATATATAACTTTTTCAAATCATAATGGCTGACATTCAGATGAGGAAGCAAGAAGGAAAGGAAGGAGCAATATTGGCAGGGATGCTGGGAGAAAGTCTTGATACACAGCAGCAAGGCTTTGAGAGCTTCTAACCAACTCAGCTTATGGAATCTACCTAATCCATCAGTAAGAATTTGGTTATTATGTAATTTAACACTCTTTTTAAAGGAGGCAAGTAGGCATTTTCTAGCCTGAAAAAAAATTTTAATCTTTTTCTACCAATTTGAAAACTTTCCCCTGCAATTTCCTAAATAATTTTGATAAAACAACCTTAATAAAATCTAATAGTAATAATAGCAACGACCTTATTCCTGAATCCAAACAACAATAAAAACCCAATCCCTATTTTTTTTTCCTAGGTAATTCAAACCATCAGTGCAGTAGATAGAGATGAATCCATAGAAGATCATCATTTTTACTTTAATCTCTCTGTGGAAGACACAAACAATTCAAGTTTTGTGATAATAGATAACCAAGGTAATGGCATTCACTCATAATGGTTTTTCGTTTACTCTTTTTGAAATCAAGTTTCATTTTAATGGAATTGTGACACTGATTTTATGCTATTTTTGCAACATGATAATATTGATAAACACAGCAAAGAGTGACAATAAAAATCGAAGATAAAATTCAAAGTGTAATTTTAAAAATACTGCTCCTATTGTCTTTGCACTTCTTCAAATCAAAAACTCTGTTTAAAGTCATTAGTGGCTGTAAACCCTTGTAAAGTATGAATGACCCTGCAAATAAAATTGCTGGTCTGACCCTGGGATTCCTTTCATGTCCTCATCTAATTCAAACTTCAACTATGTCTGAGGAAGGAAATGACAGACTTAACTTAAAGTCCTGTTAGCTTGATTGATTCAAAGATATTGGAGTCATTATTTAAGAGCTATATAAGTATTAAATTGGTTTGGGCTAGTTCTTCTTTTTTTCCTTCAAAACAAAATGATTTCATCAGTCTTAGGATAAAATGTCCTGATGGCGCTTGTGTAGAGAAATCAAACGTCCTTTACTTTTGTCAAGGGGTAAAGGAAGTTTATGAAAAGTCACTCTGTTCCTTTTTCATGTGCTTGGCGAGAGATTTTTCTTTTTTTTGTCATACTATGGGTTTGTATTTTTTTCTATTTATTTCTCAAAGATATGAAACACTATAGGATTTATCTCTGAAATATTTGTAACCAAATACCTACAACTGTCCTTACTTAATGATCAAGGTTAAGCTTTGGTCCAGAGGAGATCTTTCATGGCAGAGTAAACACAAACATGTTTTTTTCTTTTGCCCTTTTCAAATTCCCCAGTGAAGGGAACACAAATACACTCAGGATAAAAAAACCCAAATCACAATATAAAAAACGTAATAATAATAATAATAACAAGTTGTATCTTGGATTGGTTTTTATTTAAAATAAGTTACTGAGTCAAAATAAGTATATTGAAATTTAAAGAAAATTGATTGGATTTAATTTGCTGAGGAATCTCATAAAGTAATCTAATAAAACATTAAATGTAAACAGTCTCTCACTTTTTAAATCTGCATAGTAAATAAAATAACATAAACCTTATATATTTTAAGAGCATGATAGAGAATTTGCTTAAAGAAAATGATTTGGAAAAAGTCATAAGTAAGCATGCATTTCAAAAGGATTCTCTTTATATTTATCTTACTGCTAAATGTAATTTTACTTTTTTAAAAGTTTGTCTTATAGCTACAGAAAATACTTTCAAAGATGGCAATACAAAAAAAAAGACAAAGCAAAAATGAAAACTAAACTGAAGGTGTGACTCAGGGCACAGGAAATGATGCACAAAAAGATATATATTTTTTTCTTTTTTTAAGAGGTTTTCGCTACAGGACGCATGTGCTCGCCAGAAAGACAGACAGAGACAGAGAGAAAGAAAACAGGAAATCACCCGGCAGGGAGGATGGCCACGCTGTAATCCCTTCTCCTCCATTCTCCTCTCAAGATCTTGGGCACGCACGCACACGTGTGTTTAAGCCACCAGGTCCAGGACTTGAAACATGGTCGACTACATGGGAGTCCAGCATTGTAGCCATTAAAATAACTGCTGGTCCTAATATTTTAAAATACTTTGAGGTTTGGCGGAGAACAACTTCCTATGTGTTGAAGTACATATGGCCCCTATTTGTTCATTTTTCAAATATCCTCTCTAGAAGGATGAATCGGTATGACTGAGGTTTAATCATTTTCTGAATTTTAAGTAGCAAATAGGTTAATAAAGTCAAAGTGAGATGAAACATCCTAATAGAATCTTTCCTATCAAGTAAAATTAATTCTTATGTCTCATTTGAAATTACATTATTTGAGATCATGTGCTATAATAGGTAGAGAACTCTGAAAACTTTGTGTATTCCAGTATTTGTAAAATAATGGGTTCCAGGTACATGAGCAAATTCACTATGTCATGCATAGTTAACCCAAATGAAATGGACACTATTAGCATAAATTTAATGCTAGGACCCCTATGAAATACTGATGTCTGATTTCAAAGCTGTTTTCTTTCTACATTGCACTTATGTTTCTAATCTTTGTCAAAGCTATTTTGGAACCAATTTATGTAATTTATCTAATTACATAATTAGGGTATAGATACAATTGAAAACAATAACAGTTTTGTGGTGTATCTTTTAGTTGTCTTTTTATCAGAAGTTTCCTCTTACTTGAATTTATCACATCTCTACTATTGGATCGAGTACATATGGCTTATGAATTTCTTTTCTATTGTTGAAAACATTATGCATGGATTTCTGTTTTAGATAACACAGCTGTAATTTTGACTAATAGAACTGGTTTTAGCCTTCAAGAAGAGCCTGTCTTCTATGTACCCATCTTAATTGCCGACAATGGAGTCCCATCACTGACAAGCACTAACACCCTGACCATATACGTCTGTGACTGTGATGACGATGGGAGTACAGAGAGCTGCAGAAATAAGGAGCTCATGCTTTCCATGGGATTCCGGATAGAAGTCATAGTTGCTATTCTGATTTTCATTATGATAATATTTGGTAAGTAGTGCTGAACTGATCATGTATTCATGTATTTAAATAACATAATAAATATACAAAATAGTTCATTCTATCATGGCAGTATAATGTGGATTTGTGTGTATGTTCTGGGTGTGCACTTAATTTCTCTTATGAATATATTACAATTGCAATACAAAATGGAAACTAGAGTGAATAGCTATGTACTTCAAGCTGAAAACCTATGATCCGTGAATTATTTGAATACGTGAGCTCGTGTGTGCACATCTGTATATGCATATTTTGACACCTATGCATTGCAACAAATAGAAGATATAGGAAATGAGCAATAATGGTGCTGAGCTTCTGTGGAGTTATTATTACATTCCAGGAGACAGTCTTTGGTGTTCTGTATGCATCATGCAATTCGATACACACAATGCCCTTATGAATTATTAACCATCATTACCTACACCGTATAGATGAAGAAACTGGAACTCAAAGAGTTATGTGATTTCCCAGGGGCCACGCAGATGGTACAGGATGTGCTGAGATTCTGTAACCACCACGCTCCGCTGTGCAGCACTACACTGCAACTGCCTGGAGCCCTAGGGGCACTGGGAGGAAAATGAAATCTACTCTCAGCAATTTTCAAATATACAATGCATTATTATTAACTACAGTTACTACCTGTACCATAGATCTCCTGAAATTATTTTCTAAAGTCTAAGAGCACTTTTGCATTCTTTTGCCAACATCTGCCCATCCCCCATCACCCTAGACTTGGTCACCAACATCCTACTCTCTATTTATATGAGTTCTGGTTTTCTATTTTTATTTTATTATTTTATTTTCTGTTTCCGAGAATGAGAGAAGAAGATAGAGAGAAAAAGACATAGGTATTTTTGATAGGGTCTTACTGTGTCATGTGATCCTCCTTCCTCAGCTTCCCAATTGCCTAGGATTGCAAATGCAAATGACCATGCCTGGTATGCTCAGGTTGATTCTGGAACCAAGCTCATGCACCCTGTGTGGCTTCAACCTCCCAACTGAGGCCTATACCTGCACACCACCCTGACTGAGTCAAGATCTGTGCTTTTTAAACTCAGCATACGACAGAGAGCATGCATATTTCTCTTTCAGTGCATGGCTTAGTTCACTTTCCTGTCTGATTTCATCCATGTTATCACAAGTGACAGGATTTTCTTCTTTTTGAGGGCTGAATAGTATCACATTGTGTACATATAACTCGTGTTTTATTCATCCATCTGTTGATAGAAACTTAGCTTGATTTGACTAAGTGAATGTTGCAATAAATGTGGGAGTACAGATCATCTTTTTGACATACTGGTTTTTATATTTTATATGATTTTTTTCAGTTTATTTATTACTACCATGAGTGAAACAGAGAGAGAAAGAGGCAGAGAGACAAAAACCCCAGACTCCCACTAGTCTCAGATCACAGGCATACATGTGCTCACTGTACCGGGGAGGTCTCTGGGATGTTGATCCGAAGCCTCCCCGTGTTGGTCAGTTTTACAGAGCATTGCTTTTTCTGACTATGTTGACATCTGGCTTCCGGACACACTGATTTTAAATATCCAGGTGCTGAATATTTTAACATGATTATTAAAATACATATAATTATGTGGGTAATAAATATATAATTAAATATACTTAAAATATATAATTATAGATCATTCTTTTTTATAGTTATTTAATTTTATTTATCAATTCATTTATTTTAATTTGTTCAGAGAGAGACACAGAGAGAGAGAGAGAGGGAAAGTGAGAAAGCAAGCCACCAGGTCCAGGACTCAAGCCATGATCGGCCATTTGGAAGTATCCAGCACCTTAACTACCACACCACCTGCTGGTCCCTCTTTATAGATCATTCTGCAATCTACATATACATCAAAAATTGCATTGTACTAATAATTATATTGTTTGTGATTTGTTAACTAAATACTAAAATAATTTTGAAAATGTTTACAAGAAAAAATAAGTGTTGGAATTGAGGAATGTAAACAATAGTCTGTAAACAAAGTACTAGACAAAAGAAACCTCAGTAAAATAGCTCCATTTAAAAAGCATATGCTCCTTTGTCCTGGTTTGCTTAACTGTCATTGCTATTGTTTCTGTAAATGGGTAAGTTACACTCATGTTCCAGATGACGCAGCTAAACTCCACAATGTCTTAATCAGGCCTTCAATACTATAAGTGATTAATCTTCATAACTTTGTCTACCCTCTATTTTTTAAAGAATTATTTTATTTAACTATTTATTGATTTTAATGTCAAAGAGAGGGTCAGGGTGAGAGAAACAGAGAGAGAGAGAGAGAGAGAGAGAGAGAGCGAGTCACCAGAACCAGAACTCAAAACTGTGGTTAGCTATGTTGGAGTTCAGCACCCTGAACCATCGCACCACCTGTCGCCCTCAGTCTCCCCTTTTAACACCAAGATAATGTAAACCCTGCTCTTGCTTCCATGGTGGATTATGCAGTTTTATCCACACAGTAACCAAAACCAGGCACGATTTACTGAGTATTAAGAACAAATAGATCAGCCACTGGTTCGCATATCCCAAACTGACCACTCAAACTACCATGACATGTTGCCTTCACTCTCTCTTTCTCATAGCTTCAAAAACTATGGATTTCTCTTTTACTACCCAATATTATCATTATTTTAGACCCAGGTTCAAATAATTTTTAATAATCTTTTGTTACTGAAATACCAAAAAATTCTGCTTCTACTCACAGTTGATGAAACAAGAGGCAGAGGCTAATACCAAGGGAGTTTATTTACACGGCCAGGTTAGAGGGAGACGGTTAGCGAGCTCCACCCCTGTCTCAACAAGCTGAACATGTGGTCTGTATTTATAGATAGCAGATACATGACACAGGTCATTTCTCGCTGCAATTAATTAGAGTAAAAGCTTCCCTGAGTAGTTACCCCAAATCCTGTTTTACTTCAAATACCCCTTCCTGGTTTCTCATCTGACTATTCCTCACACAGAGCTCCCTGTGACTCAGCTCTTGGTTGACTTGATCTTATTAGAGGACTTTCTTAATTTCAGACTGACTGAAGTCCTGCTGGCCCTCTGCTTCGCTTTGACCATAAAACCGAATGCAGAACATAGCTGGATACCAAAAGATAAAGCAAATATTTGGAGGGCTACAAGTACTGAACTTCCACATGGACCAACCTAAACCAAGCCTTGAAACCCCACAGACAAGCCAGGCAGAGCTTCATAGTAAAGAGATGAGAAATATTTAGTTGGCAAGAAGTACCAGTCAACCAATATTCAGCAATTTCCATTAAAATGTCATTAGTACTCTCTCAAATTTATTTTGGAAAATCATTAATTGGTCCTCTTTTTATTTTTTTTCCTACCATCTATCTCAGATGAATTTTAAAGTGTAGTATTTGAATTTAAATACAATGAGTTTGCTCATTTCTTTTTCCTGAGAGATTTTTGATGTAGGGCACGTGCCAGAGGCAGAAAGTGAGAATTCACCCCCGGGGGGGAGGGTCATGCCACAATCCCTTCTCCTCCATTTTCCTTTAGGGATTTGGGGCTTGCATGCATGCACATGCACCCAGAGTGAGTTTCAAGCTTCAGGGCCAGGACTCAGAGTGGTTAACCCCATGGAAGTCTGGCACCTTAAGCACTACGCACCTGCTGGCCCCAACCTTGCTTATTTCAAGAACACTATTCTCATAAAACTTTAGTTTACATAAGATATTACTTAATATATTTCTCTTTGTGATAATTTTAATAACATGACTTCATGTTTGTTTCATATTCTATAAATGAGATGACGATCCCTGGCTGAGTAAGGATTGGCACTTGATAGGCACTCACACATACGCACAGTTTTTCAACACAAAAATAAAGTATTCTGAAATTGTTCCATTTCTACATGGTTTTCAGTGGTGTTAAATTTTGTTATGTATTTAATAAATATTGATTTTGCACTAACCAGTATTATGATTCAACCACCTGATAGTTTTGAATTTCTGTAATGTTGTTATCACAGAACTCTGAACTGACGTTCTGATTTTGAATGGAAGCTTTATCTTTCCTGGGGATGTGATTTAATGTTTTGTTTTTTTGTGTGTGTTTCAGGTTTTTTTTTTTTTTTATATTTTTTTTTCATTTTTTTTTAATAGCATAGTCTAGATGGGTTTCATAATAATTCAATGTAGTGCTTTTAGAACAATGCTTGGCATCTATTTTCTAGTCAATAAATAATAGCTTAGGAAATAATTATGCCAAGGCCAGCAGATCGTATAGTGGTTACATCATTGGACTCTCACATGGTTGATCGTGGTGCAAGTCCCACACCCAGTGGCTTGAAACTCACACCGGGCACATGTGCATGCATGCCCCAAATCCCTGAAGAATGGAGGAGAAGGGATTGCAGCGTGGCCATCCTCCCTGGAGGGTGATTTCTCACTTTCCCACTCATTGCTCTTCTTCTCTCCGGCAAGCGTACATGCAAAAAACTCTTAAAAAAAATAATAATAATTATATCTTAGAATTTGGCCTCAGATGAGGCCTATCACACTTACTAACTGCTATTAACGTAGATGATTATTTACTAAGATTGACATGTGCAGTGTATTCGTATTGAAAATATTCTGATTCTATTTTACCCTATTTTAATATCTGATAAAAAAATAAATTTTAAACTAATCATCATCAAAAGCAGTTCCCTAGAGTTTTCTGATATTTATTCCCTAAATCATCAGTCAGAAAAATGGTTATGTTCCTGTCATTTGGCCAGTAGCTTTTGTAAATTTTCGATAACAAATGTGTTTCTTGTCTTATAAAATTTAAGCTGATGTCTTGAGCTTATAACAATAGCAAGGATTGAAAAGTTTATAATACTCATTAGGTGTCAATTGATATTCTGATATACTTTTTTTTTTTTTTTTTTCCTGGCCAGGGTTTATATTTTTGTTCTTGGGTCTGAAACAACAGAGAAGAAAGACTCTCTTCCCGGAGAAAGGTGAAGATTTCGGAGAGAATATATTCAGATATGACGACGAAGGAGGGGGAGAAGAAGACACAGAGGCCTTTGATATTGTAGAGCTAAGGAGCCGCACTGTGATGCGGGATCGCAAGGCTCGGAGAAGCACCACGGCGGAGATCAGGAGCCTGTACCGGCAGTCTTTACAGGTCGGCCCAGACAGCGCCATATTCCGGAAATTCATTCTCGAAAAGCTCGATGAAGCTGATAACGATCCATATGCTCCTCCTTTTGACTCCCTTCAGACCTTTGCTTTTGAGGGGACGGGGTCCTTGGCTGGATCCCTGAGCTCCTTTGGATCTGCTATCTCTGATCAGGATGAAAATTATGACTATCTTAATGACTTGGGACCTCGGTTTAAAAGATTGGCGTGCATGTTTGGTTCTGCAATGCAGTCAAATAATTAGACCATTTTACCATCAAAACTTAGAAACGTTGATGTGAATTTGAACAAAAGGGTAGTTTCTTGGGAAAGACTTGCTGTGTGGCTGTCCTGGGAGAAAAGTTTTCTGGTTTTCTTGGAGTAAATACTAAATGGTTATTACAATCTTAAAGAAAGATGTGAGAAGAGATGGTAACAATCAGCTTTGAAGTGCCAGTGTAAGCCAGCTGTAGCATGCCACTGAAAAATTCCTCTAGCATTTTTCATTAACAACCAATGCAAATTCCCCCAAATTTTTTAAATGGTTAATGTGAAAAACAGACTGAATTACTCTAACTTAATGTTATTTTATTTATCCGTATTTTCACTCTTACCAAGTAAGAGTAAAGAGTTTGTGTGTTAAGTTCCTGATGCTAATGCAGAAAAAAACTTTTAACAGTTCAAGGACTCCGAAAAATTCAAGTTTTAGAATATTTACTTTACATGAATGAGCAAGTTTCTGACCAAGATTTCATGACTGATTGTAATTTGGTATTTTAACATTTTTGCCAAGACCACATGTTAAAACAAGTTCCAGGACCAGCAGTTGGCGTAATGGCTATGTCACTGGGCTCCCATGTAGTTGACCACAGTTTGAGTCCTGGACCCTGTGGCTTAAACTCACACCAGGCACGTTTGCATGCGTGTCCAAGATCCTGAGTTGAGAATGGCGGAGAAGGGATTGAGGCATGGCCATCCCCACTGGGGTGGGGGAGGGTTGGGGAGTGATTTCTCACTTTCTGTCTCTCTGGTGAGTGCACATGTCCTACAGCAAAAACCTCTCCAAAAAAAGGAATAAATAAATAAATAAATAAAACTAGTTTCAAATTTGGACAGATTTCTGGTGTACATCAAATAATATCATACAGCATGAAATTATATTATTTTTGATATTACAGCTTTGTGCAAAAAAAGGAGGATATGCAAATATGTTTAGCAAATTTTTCATAGATTATTTTCATGAGAAATCCATAATATGTTTTTGTCATTTCAAAATACAAGGACAAGATATATGTCAGCATTATTCATCATTAAATTTAAAAGTGAAACTGGTGGTAAGTGTGAAACATTTTAAGTAAATTTTTATTTCTACTAAAAATGATATAGATAAGTGAAAGGAATATTGGATTCAGACTTGAATTACTGTTCCTACTGTATGTTATAATCAACTGCACTTTTACTATTCCTAGAAAAAGCATAATACAATTCTCCACATTTCTTTTACATGCTAAGAGCTAAGAATATGACTGATCCTTCAGAGCCTTATCTTTATTACTGACTATGAAATTAGGTGCAATAGTTACTTTTATTATAGCATTACAAAGGAAGTAAATGATAAGCTGTTGGACATAAAGCTTTATGGTAACATTAGATAATAAAACACTTTAATTTTAATTGACCTTTTAAGAATGATCCTTATTATCATATCTAGATCAAAGTAGACTTCAAAATTTATAGTTTGAGGAGAACAAAAGTAGTGAATACAATTTCTTAAACTTAGTGTATATGGTCATTTTGTACTAATAAACATGTGAGGCTGAGCTGAACCAAATTAGCCATATCTGCTTAAATCAAATATTTTGAGTAATTTTGAATCATGGATAGAGTAGTGGAATAGTTACAGTGTATTTTCCTTTATATACTTTGAATTTTAAACATCCACTTGATATAATAGGACAAAGTGTAATATCCATATAAACCAGGCACCATTATGTTGTGACAAAGATATTATCACTTGACAAAAGTGCAAGAAAGTCAGATTCGCAACACAACACTTTAGAATGATGTTAAAAGTAAGAGAGGGCATCTGCTATAGTACATCCTCATGAAATCACATCTATATTTAATAAGGAAGAGTGCATAATACCGAACAAAAAGAACGTGAAAAGAGCAAAAACTTGAAAGTAAAATAGAATCTATGAGTTGAGAAAAAATTATATTTATTTAATATTGACATAGACATTGAAACAGTATAGTTAGGAAAAGTTTTCACAAATTATTCTATGAAGAATTGCTTCCTGTATTTAAAAAAAGAGTGCTATGAAATATTGGTTGAAGAACTGGAAAGTATGATAACCGATGAAGCAATCCATGAAAACTAAAGTAGGAAAAAGTAGTGAGGTCTTTTGGGGACCACAGTAGGTTCTGTCCTGGTTGAAAGCTTTATAAACAATGTATACATTTGATTAACAACTTCTAGAAATGCGGGGTGATGCTATATCTGCACCAGTAGGTTTAATGTTTGTGTCATGGCACTAATGAATGTGTTCAGATTCTGGCTTGGTTAGTAGAGGAATCGTCAATCATAACATACATAAGAAAAGAGCATACATGGTTGCACCGCTATCATATTTACTCATCTAAAACTCTCCTTTTAACCATATCAAAAATACTGTCTGATTCTAGTAAGGAAGTTATAGCTTCTACTATGTATATTTGGTAATATTTCCAAAACTATTTTATCTTTTTTCCTAATCATATGGTTATTGTAAGATCTCAATTCACTGTCTCCTAAGCTGAAACCAATACATTAAGAACATATTTTTGTAAATTTTAATAAAGTCTAAATTAAAGCAGATTATTTGTGAAAATAATGTAGTTCGTATCAATACCCCCAGTAGTCAAATATCCCTTGTAGTTGACTCACAGATGTATATGCAAGCTTTAAATTACTAATGGGTAAAATAAGAAAATGTTTAAAGTTCTGTATAGGAATCTGAAAATACAAGAAATGCTAATAGTAATTTGTGCACATGATAGAATATCACAGACCTAGGGTTGAATTGATTCCCTTTTATTTAAATAACTGTCTAAATTTTGTTAAACTATCTAATCCTTCCTTCTAACCTCAGTTAGAGATCTGTAAAGTGAGGTGCAATCTATTTCACATGGTTGTGATGAAGAATGAGTAACAAGACAGGTAAAACAAACAGCACAAACACTACCTGAAAAACTGCAAGAGCTCAATAAATACCGGCACATCCTTACATCAGCTGGTGTTACTCTAGTGGGACACGCCGACCCCTTTCTTCCTAGCACTAAGTGACCCCGATAGCTTCATGATACATTTCAACTATAAAGCAAATTCTGGACTTGACGCATAGGCCAGGAAGTTTCCTTATTTCTGCAGTCTTTCCTCCTTCCTCTCTCTGCTTCAGTCACTTTACTCTTTCAATCTCATGTTTTATGCCTGAAACAGTCTCCCTCCAAACACTTCTGTTCTTCATTCCTCCATTTCATTTAGATCTGTGGTCAGCTGTGACTTTCTCAGGAAGCCCTATCTGGCCACTGTCTTCTCCTTATGGTCTTTGTTTTGTCTTGACTTTCTTAAATCATTTAGTTGCCTGGTATTAAATATCTATATACGTATGTATTGTTATTCTCCCTAAGTAGAATGTACACCCTAAGTAGGTAAGGAGTTACTTTTATTCCTTTATTATTTCTAACATTGTTTCCAGCCCAAGGTAAGTGACCAATAATATTTCTTAAATGAATGTAATAATGAATTCCAATCTATTCTACTTAGTCAAAAGTCCTTGATTTTTAATGATTCTTATTATGGAATTAATCTATTTTTCAAAGTAGGAACGACCTTGGGGAGTTATTGGGTAAAGATATTTTTTCAGAATCTCCTGGGAATTATATGTCTGATGTTTTAACTTGTTTGGACTCATTGCCCACCTTCTACCTGTGTTGAGAGGAAAGACTGGCAGAATTATATTGTTTCAGTCACAACAGGTCTTCTGATGATTGCTCTAGAAAATTATGTGTAAGTTCCCATGAAGTGTGATGACTCTGAAAATATGAGCTCTGTGTGAGAATCCTCCTTCATATTTTACAGCACAACTTGGTCATAAATACATTGTAAAGGTCATAAGATTCTTAAAACATACAAGGTAGCCTGAAGTTTTTGAATCTGGCAAGGAATGTAAACAAATTAGAAAAATAGAGGAAAGGGATATAGCTTTTTACATATTCAGGTATCTCTATATAGCTATCATTTATCTGTCTGATATTTTTATCTTTATAATTTTCTATCTATTTCTCTATCTACATATCTATTGAAACTGTGCTCTAGTAGAAAAGGTGAGACTAGCATCTGACTCACAACGTAGTTCTTTGAATTAGAATGTTTTGCTGCTTTATTTCCTAGATAGCTCCAAAGCTGGCTGGCTGATTCACCTGAAGTGGCAGAGAAGGGGAGAGAGCAGCAGCAGGGGGAAATGCAGTTCCTAGCCTTTGAAAAGGCACAGCTGCATGAATTTCCCATAGGTTAAGTGACGGTAGCTGTAAAAAATTGTGCACAGGCAGTGGGAGCTGAGGGCGAACTTAAATCAATCATCCAAAGAAATGGCACACAAGTCAGGGAACAACAGGAATCTCAAGTCCTTCTCATGTGTCTCCAAATACCTCCAGCACATGCAGCAGGTTAGAGGGCCAGCTGCCGGTGCCTGTCATCAAGGAGGACACTGGCTGTGAGATCAGGATGAGTACTAACATGTTTACTTTGCCTCTGTCGCTCGTCTCTCCAGCCCTACCCAGGGGACCAGAAGCAGACAGTAAGGTGTAGGACAGGAGGTGGAGCTTACAGTGGATGTGAGGCTAATGTCTCTCACTCAATGGAAAAGCCTTTCTTTTTCTTAATATTGAAAGCGACCAGAAGTCATAGAAATGCTGATATCTGGCCAAGGAGGGCATCAGAAAAAGTAATGCAAATATATATAAAACTGTACCAAAGAAAGCATTTTCATAATTCTTTCATCTCACAAAAATCACAAACTGAGTGTAGTAACATCTCAATACAGCATTTAATATATTTCAAATAATAATTTAAAATTCAATTTTATAATATAAACCATAAGCAAAACACACAAAATTAAATATAATTTATAGTGTCCTTCAAACATCTGAGAGCATATTAAAGTGGTATATTAAGTGTTTATGCAAATACATGTCACGCAGCTTCTTCATATATATTCATTCTAATAGTTGAAATATGAATTGTTTGCGAGTGCTCACTGATTGACCTCAGCTACAAATAAGACTGGACATAGAAATGACAATATATTTATGCTTAAATAGAAGTACAAATTAATAAAATGTGTTACTTGTAAAAGGAAAGGGAAATGATTACCCTGTGCGTGTGTAGTAGTGTTAAAAGTATTCATAATATCACCTCATTTGTGTTCTAGTGACGGTGAGTTCCCTAGGAAGCTCATTTTTCATTATTTTCTAGTTGCTGACACTCTTTGTTGGCTAACTTTGGGCAAGTTGTTTAAAACCTTCTTCTGATACCTTTATCTGTACAATGGGAACATTAAGATTGCATAAGTCATAGCATTGTCATAAAAATGATCAGAAATAATTTATAGAGAATGTAGAACTGTGCCAAATGTGTAGTAAACACTTGACATCTTACCCGTTACTATCATTGTTAAAATAATGATAACAATTGTTATTAATTTACCTTGAAGAAGGTTCACATACCTATCTCCTTACTTAAGTGCTAAAATTAATATGGATAATAAGAAGAAAATGAAT